AGCCCTTCATTTCACTGGTGGGAGCAGGCCCAAGGGGAGGCCAGGTCGTGCAGCTGAGCATGGAGAGCAGGGCGCACAGCCCGCGCCCCGTCCTCTGGGTCCGCAGCTGGGCGTCAGTGGCAAACACGGGCAGGTGCCAACCTCAGCCTCGGGGCAGACCAGCTGGTGCCCACACCCAGGGGCTGCCTGCTGGCTGAGATGTGACCAATGCAAATTGCCGAGGTTTCACTGCTGCTGTCAGGGGTGTGGCCCGGGGGCGGGGGGGGGGTGGCCTCGGTAGGGACCCCAGAGCGGCCGCTCTCCTTGCTGGGGAGAGGGAGGTGTCTGCACACGGACAGGACACCCGGAGGGCGGGTTCTGAGCCACAGGCCCTTTCGGGGCTCGGTTCCTTTCATCCCCCACCGGCTCCGTCCTGAGAGCTGACCGGGGAGGCCTGCGATGCGGGAGCTCCTCCCCGGGACCTTCCCAGGCTGGGTGGTGGCCAGCTGACCACTCAGAGGCACACGTGGTCACTGCTCTCTCCTTTCCCCCTAGACATGAGCCTGCTGTGAGGCCTTGACACAAGCCTGGCTTCAGGGCAAGGCCTGGCTGGGAGCTGACTTCAGCCCGGCGGCCTCACCCCGACTCCAGGAAACCCCAATTCCCTGAGCAAACAACCCTTGTCACAGGCCGAGTCCCGGGAGGGAGGAGGCTCCGCCAGAACCTGCAGGGCCCGGCACAGCAGAGAGCAGCGCCCAGGCTGGCATCATGCCCTCTCTGACCCGGGCCCCTCCTCAGACCCGCAGGGCATGGCTGAAGTCAAAGGCAGCCCCTTCTTCTGAGTCACTCACTGGCGTGCAGACTGGAAATCAGGGGCAGGGTGACCAGGTCTGCGTCGAAGCTGCCCAGGAGGCCGCCCGGGGCCGCCACGCAGCCCAGAGGGGCGAGATCCTGGGCAAAGCTCCACTCAGATGTCCCCAGGTCCCCACAGCTAGTCAAGCCCAGGAGTGACCATTCCTCAGTTGTAGGGTTCCACTGTCCAGCCAGGGCCCCTGAGGGAGCGAGAGCCACTTCTGGGGGGTCCTGTTTCAAGTAGCCCTTGTCCAAGGCTGGTGGGGACCAGGCTTCCTTGGCATCCAGGCACATCCTGAGTTGGGGGACAAGGCCATCGGCTGAGGAGGCCTCTTCTTCCAGGCAGCCCGCCGTGGCTGCCTGCTCCTCCCTGCCTCTGGTCTGTTTCAGGTAGCCCTGAAATTCCACCACAGCCGGGTCTTCTCCCTCCATTGCTTCAGGCCCCCGGGGACCGACGTGGCCCAAGGCTGAGTCACCCCGTCCATCCCCAGGCTGCCCCTCAGAGTGGTGGGCGAGGCCAATGCCGCTGTCCTCCTGGCCCTGGCCCCCCGCCTGCTGCACCCAGGGCTCCGCGCCGGGACTCAGGCTGGGCTCCTGCAGGCAGATGCCGCTGTCGGTGCTGGCACTGCTGCAGCTGCTCTCGGGCTCCAGGGAGGCCCCCTTTCCCAGGGTGCCCCCGGCCTGGGGGAGGGGGTCCGGGAGGAGGAACTGGGGCTCCTCGGTCTGTAAGGACGGCTTGGCACTGCCGAAGCCGCTGTCGGTGCTGCCGTGCAGCTCGGAGTTCCTCAGCTCCGGGGACACCTTGGCGAGGGCCTGCTCATCGACGGCATGGATGGTGTCGCGCGTCTCTGGGCGGGGGAGCTGGCTGACCGGGCTGAAGGGACTGGGCCTCCCGAAGACCTGGAGAGGGGAGGACAGAGGGGGTGAGGCGAGGGTCCCCTGCAGGCACCCACCCCGCGTCGCCAGGGGCGGCCGTGGTCGGTCCGTGAGGGACGCTCAGGGGGCACTGCTCCAGGAGGGGGACACAGGCCTGGAGGACACCCCCTCGTTCCTTTGGTTTAGTTCCAGACTGAGTTTTCTCCTAATGAAATTCTCAGGTCAGCTCAGGCCCGGATACAGAGAAGCCTGCATTCCTGGGGCCCAGACGGCAGGACGGGCGGATGGGAGGGCCGCGTGTTCTCGGTGGCTGTGCTTTAGCCCTGAGAGCAGGCTGGCCGCGGCGGGATCTAAACGTGTGTTCCTGACTCTTTTGACTATGACCCCAAATAAGAAAGGTGCTTTATAACAATCCGTGTGCAAGCAGCCCATGAATATACACCTCATGCAGGAATAACTAAAACAGCTCACAAAAAGGTGATACTGCCTGTGGCCTGGGACCTATGCTGTTCGATTCTATTCCGTCCTACTCATTTGTTTTTAAAAGGCACACAGACAGGGTGGCCGCCGTGTGGGCAGTGGGACAAGCACAGAACCAGGACGCTGACTGCCCAGGGCCCCAGGGGAAACCGCTTAATGCTGACTCTTTTGCCCCTCACAACGGGTTCCTTCTGCCCACTCGCCCCACCCTCTGCTGGCGAGTTACCCATTGGAGGGCAGGCCAGTGGGTGATCTCCTCTCTGTACCACCCTCCCCGCCCCCCAGCTCTGGGCCCCGCATAGGGAATATGCTCTAACACCCGTCCGGCAGGCAACGCCACGCCTGGGCCCTCGCATCTGCTCAGAGCCCGAGAGAGGACGCTGAGCCACGTCTGCCGGTCAGAGTAGCCCTTCCAGGTCCCTGGCCCCCGGCTCCCTGTCATATCTCTACCCAGGGCCCTGCAGCTAAGAACAGAGTTCTTTTTTGCTGGAAAAGGACCCGAGTTGAGCCAGGCGGCCTCCCCCAACCCCCCACCTCCCTGCTTCCTGGACCTCTTCCTCAGAACACTTTCTGAGGGTCTCTGTCTCTCTCCTTATTTTCCCCGGAGACCCTGGCTCCCCTGGGGGCCCTCTGCAGCCCTGAGCCGAGGTGTGGGGGGGGGGGGGGGGGGGCAAGCTGAGCCCCAGGCCGGAGACAGGCCTCGGAGATGCAGCTCAGCCTGGAGGTTGTGCTGCAGGCTGCTTACCCGAGGGCAGCCTGTCAGCTCCGGGAGGAAGAGGGACGGGCGAAGGAGGGGGTACAGATGTCAGCATCCTCACGGCCCCTTCTCTCCAGCACCCAACCCCCCACTCCCCTCTCCACTTGGAGAGCAGCCCAAGGCCGGCCCTTCCAGCCCTGGTCCTTTCTCTGAGCATCTTCTGGCCACAAGGCGTGGTGAAGGCTGGGCTCCATCAGACTCTCCCTGGCTGTGTGGCCCTGCGCCTGTAACAACCTCTCTCTGCCTCAGTGTCCTTACTTGTCAGAGGAGGACAATAAAGGCCCTGCCTCTGAGGTGCTCATGCACAGGCCGGTCCGCGGCCGATTGTGAGTTAAACAGGAACAATGGAAAGTGCGGGACGGGATTGCTCAGGGTGCCGGCCCCCCCGGGCCGCCAGGAGGCACCGCTCTCAGCACCGGGCGCTGCGGTCAGTCCTCCCTCTGCCCAGGGTGCCTGGAGGTGCCTCCTGATGGCGTCGGGCTGAGGGGAGGACGGGCTGAGACTGGGCACCTGGCTTCCCAGGCCCGTGGGGCTGCGGGACGGGCAGCGGCCGCCCCAAGACTCACCAGGACGGCGGGCAGCTTCCTCGGGTGCCGCAGGTACAGGCGGAGGGCCATGGCCCCGCAGAGCAGCAGGACGAGGGTGAAGGAGACGATGAGGTTGGTCATGGTGAAATCTGCAGCCCAGAGACCAGAGAGAGGCGCTGTGGCCGGGCCCGGGGGACACAGAGGGGCAGTCCGTGGGGTCCCACGGCCGCGCTCGGGAGCTCCTCGGTGAGTGGCCCAGGGGACCCCACCACCCAGGCTGCCTCTACCCATGTCTGGGTCCCGGGGAACCCTGCCTGCGCCGACTCTGCCTGAGAATGTCTCACCGCCCGTGACTGCTGCCGCCCTCGAGCTCAGTCAGCACACAGGGCAGCGCGTCGGGGCACAGCGGGCAAGCACAGGGGACAGCAGCTGGGCCTGGGTTCAAGTCCCAGCCCCCACCTGCTAGCCGGGAGCCTCTGAGCCATGTCCTCATCTATAAAAGGGGGAAATACGGCGCTGACCCCACAGGCTGGCTGTGAAGGCCACAGCGCGTCCCCTACCGAGTCTTCACCTGTTATCGGACCCCGAGAGCCTGGCATCCTATTTATTGGCTTCAGCAGCTGTGGCAAGGGGCCCTGTCTCCTCCGAGGGCTGGGAGGGTAGGAGAAGGCCCTTCAGGGGATGCAGCTTACACCACCGAGCCTGGGCTTCCTCATCTCTCCCGGGGGCCGTGGGAGGATGGCTCACAGGCCTGGCGGAGGACGGGAAGGGCGTGGGGCGTGCCTGGCAGGGGGCATCAGCAGCTACCCGATTGTGGATGTGCGGCCCCTCCTGCCCCCGCCCATCCGGACCGCTGCCCCGACCCTGACCGACTCACACTGCCAGGTGAGCAGGAGGCACACCTCCTCCGACCAGATCCCCTTGTTCAGGCGCGAGCTCACAGCCGGCTTCACCCGGACACAGAACTCCCCAAACTCGCCGTTGGTCGGGAAGCTGAAGTTCTCGTGTTTCACCTTCTTGTTTGTGGACTGAAATGGAAACAAAGGCAATAAACAAAACAGCTGGTTTCCCGCAGCCCCCCGGGCCCTGAGCGCTGGCGGGCCTCAGAGCTGACGGGCACCCCTCTGCTTCGTCCTCTGAGGGAACCAGCCCTGGGTTAGCAGCACGGCCGAGAGCCCTGTGGCCACCAGGACCTGTTGTTATTTTGTGAATCCTCACTTGAGGGTTGTTTTCCCATTGATTGATTGATTTCATTTTATTTCTTTAGGGAGAGTGGCAGGGAGGGAGGGGCAGGGGGAAAGAGAGAGAAACATCGATGTGAGAGAGACATCGATTGGTCCTCCGCATGTGCACCGACAGGGCTGGGCTCGCACCTGCAACCGAGGTCCATGCCCTTGACTGGGAATCAGACCCACGACCCTTCCGTGTGTGGGCTGCTGTCCTAACCCTGAGCAGCAGCCGTGGGGCTACCTGACTTATTTTGTATTAAAGAGGAAAGGGTGGGTTTCGTAGGGGCTGAGGGCCTTCCCAGACGCGGTGAGCTCTGCTGTAGTGTCAGGGAAAGGATGGATTCTGCAGGTTCCAGAGCTCCCGGTTATGGGGTGTCAATGCCACAGCCCCTGAGCCTCACTCCCTCTCTATCCAATGGGATGAAACAGCTCCTCCAAGGGGATGGGAAACAATGGTTACAAAATGTCCTGGGTGGTGCCCACCCGGGGGGCAGTGCGCCCACTGCCACCTGCAGGGGCACCACTTGGGCCGGGTGCCCTCAGCTCCCTGCTCCGCCCCAGGTCCTCCCTCTGCCGGCACAAGGGGGCGAGGGGCAGGGGGCGCAGGTCCCATGGCCTTGGGAGCCCCGTACCTCATAGCGTCCGGGCACCTTGCGAATCTGGATCTCGTACTCGCGGAAGTGGGGGAAGATGCTCTCGTAGGTGTCGCCTGCAGGGGCCACCTTGGGCCTGGGCGGCTGGATCTTTCCAAGGACCCAGCCGTCGTGTACCTCCAGCTCCAAGCTGCCCACCGTCAGGCTCACTGAGGGGAGGCAAAGCCGTGAGGCCCACAGGCAGAGGAGGGCCTGCTTCCCCCCCGCCCCCCACATGCCTGGCCTCCAGGGCCAAGCTGTACCCACCGTAACACCTGGGCCACAGCCTTCCAACCTAGCGGACCGCTGGGCCTTGCTGGGGAGCACGTTACAATGACAGATGCCTGGGTCCATTCAAGGCCCATTCAAAGCTTGGAAGCTGAGCCAGGAGACATTCGGGGTGTAAGCAACCCCGGGGGAGCCTGCAGCCAGTGGCGCCGGACCACACACAGGCGCTGGGACCACGATCCTGACATCCTGGGCTCCTGGTCTGACCCTGACATCCTGGAACCCTGGTCTAACCCTGACACCCTGGATCCCTGGTCTGACCCTGACACCCTGGACCCCCGGTCTGACCCTGACACCCTGGATCCCTGGTCTGACCCTGACACCCTGGGCCCCCGGTCTGACCCTGGGCTCTGCAGGGCAGGCTTGTCGCAGTCACAGCCCTCATCCCCACCGCAGGCGGAAGCTCCCCCTGAGTGGGCTTACCCGTGCCTCCCACCCCTGCAAGGAGCCTCCCCGCTTTTTCTTAGTGGCACCCCCCCCCCACTTCAGAGCCTCCCACTCTGACCCTGGGGAGTCCTTCCGTCACGGGGTGGGTGGGGGAGGGGGCTGGCCCCATTCCGCCTGCTGCCTGCTTCCCTGTGCTCAGCGCTTACAGATTCGCTTCCTCTCCAGGACCCGCTAAGCACACCCCCTGTCCCGCTGCCCAGGCACCCCAAGACTTCCCTCTGTAGGGTAAACAAACCCAGTTCCCTTTCCATCTCCAACAACTTGACTATTTTCATCTAACCCTTCTCCAGAGTCCTGACTCAGGCTGTTTTGCCTCGTCCGGAAGCTGAGCTGACATGCTGTGCTATGGGAACACAGAGAACAGTCTAGAGCAGCGGTTCTCAACCTGTGGGTCGCGACCCCTTTGGCGGTCGAACGACCCTTTCACAGGGGTCGCCTAAGACCATCCTGCATATCAGATATTTACATGACGATTCATCACAGCAGCAACATTACAGTTATGAAATAGCAATGAAAATAATTTTATGGTTGGATCACAACATGAGGAACTGTATTTAAAGGGCCAGAAGGTTGAGAACCACTGTCTGAGCCTCTGGCTGTACGGGACCCCCAAAGCCAAGCTCCAGGCCCCACGGGGGAAGCACCTTCGTCCACGGAGAAGCGGGTCTCGGTGACAGTCCAGTTGGAGCGCTGGCCTCCATCCACGGCCCGGACTTTGGCTCTGTAGCCGTTGCTGTGGTACAGGTCCAGGGTGGCCATGGTGAGGTCGCAGGACGGCACCGGGGTCTGGCTGCAGCTGGACACAGACCTCCAGGACTCCATCCCATACCTGGGGGGACAACAGGGTAGGCACTGGCTCCCACTTCTGTTCACACCCATCTTCTTTAAGAGGGAAGCAAGAGGCGGGAGCGGCCAGGAAGGCAGCCCTGGGTGCTTGCCCTGGCGCAGGGCATCTCATTGCCAGCGGCTCTGCGCTGGCCTGGGACCCCCAGCCAACTGTGTCTAAAGGCCCTCAGACTGAACTCTGACCGGCTCAAGCCCAGCTCCACAGGAAGACATGCTGCTCCTGCAACACAGCCCAATGTCCCCTCCCAGCCACACTCGCAGTCCTTGGGGATCCTTGTTTTTAGCTCTACCGTGGGTGCTGCTCCTGCTTCTCCAATAAGATAGACAAATCCTGAGGGGAAAAGCACTACTGTGCTTCCTCCCCCAGAGCCCCCAGAACACTGCTCGGTACAGGTGACACAGCCAGCCCCCACCAGACAGCCCCCG